AGAGTGGAGCAAAAAACACATTAAGGAATAATGTTTGAAAATTTTCCAAATTGGGCTCAAAAATCTCAGTGAACCCCAAACAGGAAAAATACAAAGAAAAGCATACCTGATTCAAACAACTAAATAATAAAAATATAAAGAAAACTTTGAAATTAGCCAGAGGGGAAAAAAGATATAAAAACAGGGTAACAATTATGGAAACAACAGCTGACTTCTCCTCAGAAATAATGGAGGACAGAACATTGGAATAATATCTTTAAAGTGATGAAAGAATTAACCAATCTAGGTGTAATACAAATGACAACTATAGAATAAAGGATGTTGGGGTGAGGGGTAATTTGAACTGTGCAATTGAAATGTTCTTACATTTTTACATAAAGTGATAGCCAGAATAAGTAGAATAAGAAAAGTTAGAGCTGTATATCATAACCCCTTAGAGCAGGAGTCAGCAAATTTTTTCTTAAATGATCAGGGAGTAAACAGTTTCAACTTTAAGGGCTAAGGTAAAATTGAGAAAATTGTATAGGTACTTACATAACCATTTAAAAATCTAAAATCTATTCTTGGCTCATAGTTTTTTAAGAATTCCATTTCAATTTGTCAACTGGATTTTTCAGCCTTCCTCTCTCTCCTTGGGCTTGGCTTCTTTCTTTAGCTCACTCAGTTTTTTGCCCCACATTCTTGCTTGATATTTTTAAAAAATAGTAACAAGAGAAAGAAACCCATGAATGTGGAAGAAAATTGAGTGAGGTAGAGAGGGCAAAACCAGTGGGAGGAAGAAAGGCTTTTTGTGGAGGAAGACACAGTGGAAAAGCCTCACACTAGAGTGAGGATGAAGGCCTGGAAGGGCAATGCAAGCAGCAGCCCAGGAGGTGAGGAGAATACCTGCCTTTTCGAGCACCTGAGCAATGCCACCTCTCTCCCACCCCCCAAGCTGTTTGCAGCTCTGTGCTCCACTTGCCCAGTGTTCCCCACTCACCTGGACAGGTGACTGGTAGGCATTTTCTCTCCTCTCCCCAGGTTTCTTTCCCTTGCTCCAGCTGGGTGATGAGTTTTGGTTTAGAAAATGGAATTCCTGCTCACAGGAAAGGAAAACAAGGTGGCTGCAGGTTACAGACTCAAGGGCCAAGCCAGACAGCAAGATAGCTGCTTCAAGCACAAATGCCCAGCAGCAAGAACACGAGTCCTAAGAGATGCCCGGCTTACCCAGCGAGACCAAGTTGCTGTAGTTTTCCAGCATCACTTCTCTGTACAGGGACCTCTGAGCAGGGCTCAGCAGCATCCACTCTTCCTGGGTGAAATCCACAGCCACATCTCTGAATGCCATGTGTGCCTGTAACACAAAACACAGCCTTACTCACTGGATAGCCAGCCTTGCCCATGACTCAGGGTGGGAGACAGGGAGAAGGCTGTCCTGGGGGAGGCAGGCAAGATATTTAGATCCTGCCTTTGACTGAGACCCTGGTGCCATGTTCCAAGACCTTTAAACCTCTGTTGCCATCCAGCCAGCAGCACCTGTGAATCTATATAGTCAATAATCTGGATGGGTTGTTTGGAGAATATATGCAAAAAGAGTCCCTAAATCTCAGGAACTTTAAATCTTGGCAGAGAAAAGAGGAGAAAACATATAAAAATTAAACAACGGTAAAGTATAACACACTTTTTGAGTTTTAAGAACTTAAAAGATTCAATAGTATGACCAATCAAATCAATATTGAAGCATCAGAGTGACTAAATTTAAGAATAGCATAGACTAAACTACAATTCAGTCCTTCCTCTAAGTCTTATGGCCCCTCGGCCTTCTCGGGCCTGAGGGGCACAAGTGGGAGTGTTGAAGAGAATGGACCTGAATCATACTGCCTGGGTTTGGGGCCCACCTCTGTCGTCAACTAGTGCCTCAGTTTTCTTGCCTGTGAAATGTGTTTAACAATAAATTTATGGCTATATACTGTGGCTACTCAGAGAAAACCTTCTTGGACACTCAATCTACAAATTCATTTCTACACCCCATTCTCATCCCCCTGACAAGTTTTATATCTTATTTCAAAATGGAGGGCACACTGGAATATAGACATCAGGAAATGTTTCATGAGACCCAGGAACTTGGTCTTAAAGGATGGCCAGGAATCACGGCAAGAGAAAAGTGCTAGGTATTCCAGATAAGGCATGTGGGAAGGAGACAAGATGCTGTGAGCAAAAGAAAAGGAGAAGCCACAGTGTGAACAGGGAGAACCACCTGGGAGGAATAAAAGGCACCTAGTTGTAAAATATAGAATAGGTAGACTGTAGGAATCTGTAGGTTTTTTATTTTTTACTGTAAAATACACGCAACGAAAATTCTATTTTTATCATTTTAAGGGTACATTTCAGTAGCATTAAGTGCATTCACATTTTTGTGTAACTATCACCACTATGCAACTCCAGAACTCATTCATCATCCCATGCTGAAATTCTGTAACCATTAAACAATAACTCCTTCCTCCTCACAAATCCTGGTAACCTCCATTTTACTTTCTATCTCTACGTCTGTGTCTATTCTATGTACTGCAAGCAAGTAGAATCATGCAGTATTTGTTATTTTGTGTCTGGCTAATTTCACAGCAAAATGTCTTTAATGTTCACTCATGTAAAAACATATACTCAGAATTTCCTTCCTTTTCTGTGTTTATGTTAATTTGTTTTCTTCCCCTAAATTTATTTTAATTAGTTTCATGTATATAGTACATTGGTTAGACATCTACATAGTTCGTAAAACGATCCTCCCAATTGCTCCTTCCCTCCTCTGACCCTCCACCTAGACAATGTATTAATGCTAACTGCATTACCTATGCTGTGCTCCCCATCCCCATGACCATCCATCGGCTACTAATTTGTACTTCTTTAACTCTTCCCCCCATTCTCCCAACCCCACAAATCCTCCTCCTCTTACCAAATTGTCCACTATATTTGTGAGTCTGTTTTTTATTAGTTTGTTCTTTTTATTCCTTAGATTCCGCATATGAGTGAAATCATATAGTGTTTATCTTTCTGTATGACTTAAATACATTCTAGGTCCATCAAAACAATATGTTTTTCCATACCCTTCCTTTTAGTCTGTGTGTGTCTTTTAATCTGAAGTGAGTCTCTTATAGGGGTCTTGTTTTCCTTTTCATTCATCCACTCTATCTTTTAGTTGGAACATTTAATTCTTTCCAGTTGAGGTACTTATTGATAGGAATGTAGTTATTACCATTCTTTATTCCTGTTTTTGATACACGTCTTTTCTTCTTAAAGAAGTCCTTCCAACATTTCTTGTAATTCTGGCTTAGTGGTGATAAATTCCTTTAGCTTTTGTCTAGGAAGCTCTTTATCTGTCCTTCAACTCTAAATGACAGCTTTGCTGGATAAAGTATTCTTGGTTGTAGATCCTGGGTCTTCATCCCGTCAAATATTTTTTTGCCAAGTCCCTCTGTCCTGCATAGTTTCTTTTGAGAAATCAGCTGCCAGTCTTATGGGTTTTCCCTTATAAGTAACCATCTGTTTTTCTCTTGCTGCTTTTAATATTCTTTCTTTGTCTTTAACCTTTGGCATTTTAATTATGATGTGTCTTGGTGTGGGCCTCGTTAGATCCCTGATTTTTGGAATTCTTTGAGCTTCCTGGGGTTTTATGTCCATTTCCTTCACCAGGTTAGGGAAATTTTCCATCATTATTTCTTCAAATAGCTGTTCAACATCTGATTTTCTTCAGTTATGCCTATCAGACGGATATTTGGACCCTTAATCATGTCCCATATGCTCCTTAAATTATTTTTATAGTCTTGGCATCTCATCTCTTGCCATTCTGAATGTGTCCTTGGCTTTCCCATCCTCTAGATAGGACATCTGATCCTCTTCTTTATCCACTTTGTTTATTCCATTTAATATACTTCTCATCTCAGATAATGTGTTCTTCATTTATGACTGGTTCCCTTTTATAATTTCCATTTCTATTTTTTTTTTTTATCTTTATTTTAAAGTTCTCACTGAGTTCATCTACTCTTCTCATAAGTTCATTGAGCATCTTTATAACCAGTGTTTTGAACTCTGCATCTGATAGATTACCTGACTCCATTAATCCTGGACCTCTGTTCTGTTCTCTGATATAGTTTCTGCTTCTTTGTCTTCCCATTTTGGCTGCCTTTCTGTGTCTGTTTCTATGTATTAAGCAAAGTTCCTAAGCCTCCCAGTCTTATTAGTGTGGCTTTGTGTAGTAGGTGTCCAGTGACGCAGTCCTGAGAGGGGTTCAGCTACAGGAGAAGGGCCCTCCAGCAAGGAGCACCTGACTCTATGAGGATACTCCTGAATATGGCTTAGGTGGGGCCGTGAGTTAGGGGAGGCAGGTTTCAGAGAATCTTCTGGGTAGAGTGACCTCTGTTATCCAGTTTGATGATGTCAGGGCTATGGCTGCGCTGTGTCCGGCACACTGGCAAGGGGGAGGGCTCAACAGGGAACAATGGATACCACCGGCACTTCTGTACGGAGCGTATCTCGCCTTGGCCCTCATTCCGACAATGTCTCCCTGTAAGTCCCTGGTGTCCCCTGTGCACAGCCAAATCAGCACTGGTGCTCAGAGTGAGTAGGTCCCTCACTGAGGATATCTGCTTGTGGACACAGCCCCTTTAAGAGGCGTCTGCTGCTGCCGCAGCCTCCGTCTCACTCAGCCACTGGACCCCGGGCAGCCCTGTGTCCTCAACCCATCCTACCTTCTGCCATTGCAGGGTGCTTTCTTGGATTTCTCCCTAGTTGTATGGCTTGTTCCTCTAGATCCCAGGCAATTTTTCCTTGCTGCTGCTCCTTGTTTCTGTCACAACTTTGATTTGGTCACCGGAGAAATGAACGGAGCCTCTATCATCTACACCATTTTTTTCCTCCACCCAGAATTTCCTTCCTTTTAAAGGCTAAAAAATATTCAATTGTATGTATATAGCATTCATCCATCAATGGGCACTTTGTATGCACCTACTGTAAATACTACTAGCATGCAAATTTGTGTATAATTATCTATTTGAATCCCTGCTTTCAATTCTTTTGGGCATATACCCAGAGTGGAACTGCTAGATCAAATAGTAATTTTACATTTTTTTTTTCCAGTATCTACTGTACTGTTTTCCAGAGACTGGACCATTTTACATCCCCACCAGCAATGCAAAAGTCTTCTAATTTCTCCATATCTCGCCAACACTTGTTGCTTTTTTTTGATAACAGCCATACTAATGGATGTAAAGTAGTAGTATCTCACTGTGGTTTTTATTTACATTTCCTTAATGTTTAGTGATGGTTAGCATATTTTCATGTACTTACTGGCCATCTATAAATCTTCTCTCCAAAAAGGTCTATTCAAGTTCTTTGTCCATTTTTAAACTGAGTGTTCGGATTTTCTGTTGTTGAATTATAGGAGTTCTTTATACATTCTTGATATTAATCACTTATCAGAAAAGTAATATGCAAATATATTCTCTATCTTTAATGCACAAAAGGTTTTAATTTTTTTTAAAACCTTTTAAAAGGTTTAAAAAACCTTTTAAAAATAAACTTATTTTTTTTCTTTTGTTGTCTGGGCTTTATTTTTTCTTTTGTTGTCTGGGCTTTTGGTGTAATATCTAAGAAATCATCACTAAATCCACATTCATGGAGTTTTCCCCTATGTTTTTATAGTTTTATACATCCTCTAACAGTTTTATAGTTTTAGCTCTTATCTGTTTAGGTCTTTGATCCATTTGAGCTAATTTTTGTATATGGTGTTAGGTAACGGTCTAACTAACATCCTTTTGCATCACGTATACAGTTTTACCAGCAATATCTATTAAACAGACTGTCTTTTCCACATTGAATGTTCTTGGTACTCTTGTCAGAAATCCTCTGACCATTACACTCATGGACATGGCCCCTTTAAGAGGTGCCTGCCGCTGCCACTGTAATTCTGTCTTGATAGGTTTTTGTTTCTAAGACATTGTCCATTTCATCAAGGTTATCCTGTCTGTTGGTGTACAAAAGTTCATAATACTCATAATCCTTTTCATTTTTGTAGAATCAGTAGTAATGTTGCCACTTTCATTTCTGATGTTAGTAGTTTGAGTCTTCTTATTCTCTTAGTCAAGCTAGCTAAAAGTTTTGTTGATTTTGGTAAACTTTTCAAAGAACCAACTCTTAATTTTATTGATTTTCTCTTCTGAACATGCTTGAAACTTTTCCACTAATAAAATATTATTTAAAAATTCTTAAACTACCGAAAAACAGATGCAATAAGTATGGTAAAATATTAAGAAGTGTTAAATCAAGATAATGCATATAAGGATGTTCATTATGCGCTACTTT